CGGTCTTTTGTGAAGAGAAAATTGTATCCAGCCATTCTACTCACCTTTTAAACTGCGACCTCTGGTGGCGAAGATAAGAAGAGGAAATAATATTTTATCTGTTTTCTTCTTTTTCGTCTTCTTTTTCGTCTTTTTTCTTTTCCTTCTTCTTTTTCTTCTTCTTCTTCTTCTTTATTTAGCATCATAAGTATGAATGTCTATGAGTTATAAAAATTTGGGAAATAAAAAATACTATAATATACATACGGAATGGAATTTGTTATGGTGAAATAAAAAAGACAAGAGGGAAATACAATGACGGGGGTGGGGGGAGAAAAAGAAAGAAACGGAAGCCAAAAAAAAAAAACCAAACAAATAAAAAGCAAAATCAAATCAAAAAGAAAGACAATAAAAGCGAATAAAGTTAAAGAAAAAGTGAAAGAACAACTAGATGTATAACGTGTCGTCATCATCATCATCATCAGTCCCATAACCGGGTATTGTTGTAGGGTCACTATACAGCTGAGTACCTGAGCAGTTCCCTCGACATAATAAGGATTAAAAGCTGGAGAGGTATTCCTTTATTCGTAGCGTGTCTTCATAAAGTAGTCCTGGCGGAACCCATCCTTCTCCAGGTCAATCAAGAGCCGATATCCCCCAACTTGAAGGCTTCCCTTGGCCAAGGATATGTGGCCGTTGATCTGCATCCGCCTAGAGATTAGACTTCAGTTTAGTAAGTCCTCCGCCCAGGGCTGTCGTGTCATTATCGCACAGGCTGCATACATAACTACGGAATCCAGTCTACCCCATTATACTAGATGGCGTACAAGAAGGTTCATCTGCCTTTTAAAAGGGTCCTGTTTTTAATCCTACTGGGTGTCTAGCCCTCCCCCCCCGCCAAATAATTTCTGGATGGGTAAACGGTATAGTTACTGATGACCTGACTATACAGTAGGTAGTAGCAAATAGCAAATAGCACTCAAATAGAGACCTGATATCTGATATATATATATATATATACATATATATATATATAATTATTTATTTAAAAATATGATTCCAACTCACGACATAAGAGGTCTCATGTTTCAAAACAAGAGCCGAAACCTTCAATATAATCATTTGAATTAAATTGAGTTAAAGTAAGCTCTGTTCCATCTTCAAGCGAAATTTTTTTTTTTGAATAACGTATTTCTGAAATTTACGTGTTTTAATAATTTAAATCAAAATTTCCATGGTAACAGCTAGGGCGAATTGTTTAAATTGGGTAGGCGTGTGTTGGGTGTTAATAATAAGTATCAGTATAGAGTTACTTTCATATATATATATATATATATATATATATATATATATATATATATATATATATATTTTTTAAACACCGATCTTTATGCTACCACAGTTTCTACCAGAATGGTGTCATAAGACACTCAGGCTGCTAGAAACTGTGGTAGAATGAAAGTCACTGTATCAAATATTTCTTAAATTGTATTGAGCCTTCTTTTTAATTTACCCATTATTTCATTTTAAATATCACCTTTGCTATAGATTTCATTTATAAAAGTATATATATATATATATATATATATATATATATATATATATATATATATATAAATATATTTTTTTTTTTTTTAACGTTCTTTTCATAGATACAAGTATTTAAGTAAATGCTCTGTTTATAATAATACGGAACCGTCATTTACGCTGACGTACCTTAACCAACTCGGCCACAAAGGAGAGTTCGGTAGGCAAGGTCAATTTACTGCTTATAAACTTCAATCTTCCAGCGTAAATGACGGTTCCGTATAGGATGCAGGTTCGAATCCTGTCAAATATTTTCTATGAACATTCAGGCCGGTAAATGTTATTTAATCTGTTTATTCAAACAGAGCATTTAAAATACTTGTTCTAAAAAAAGAACGTTAAACATAAAAATGTTTTAATAAATAAACAGTCCAGTTCTTAATATATATATATATAAATATATATATATTTATAATTATTTTATAAAAAAAACGTTAATAAAATCACAAAAATAGCCATTTTTTTCAACACAATTAAATGATGGTGTTATTGGACTCTTTTAAAGAATAGTAATTGTTGGTTCATTTCCGTGTATACCAATTATATATATATATATATATATATATATATATATATATATATATATATATATATATATATAAAGGTTTAATCTCCTCCTCCTCATACTTACACTTTTTCTAAATTCTGTTTTTATTTCCGGAGTTGTTTTTTTTGTTTTCTTTTTTGAATTTGTAGGTCTGATGAATTGGATCGTATTTACGATTCCAATGGAATAAATTATGACCATGGAATATTAGTGTTTAAGCCTTTTTATTATATCTTTACTCTGTCCTGGACATTGAGTTCTACCTGGATTCTTCCTCTTGGAATTTTTTTTCTAAAATATACAAGCATGTGTATTTATATATTTTGCATATGTATGTATATTTCCCCTAATATATATATATATATATATATATATATATATATATATATATATGGTGTTCAAAAAGTTTCACCCGATTCTTCACTGAGGCGAAGACTTGCCTCAGTTGCCTTTGAGCCATACTGATAATAATGTCGGACAGCAGCAATTCGTTGATTCTGATTGATTCAGTCGAAAAGCCATGTTCCTGAAGCCTCCAAGACCAAATTGTAATAAAATAAAAATTGCAATAATACAAAATCTTTTAGGATACCTTTAAAAAATGCCGTAAGAATTTTAGCCATTAACAATATAATTTAAAAAAAAATCTAGATGACAGGCTTTAACGGAAGTTAGATTTCATTGAAAAATGCATCCTTATCCACGACCCAAACGTAGCAATAACTGATACATTAAATCATAGACATATTGAAAACCCAGCCACCCCTGTCTAGAAAAATAGATTTATCTGTAACCTTGGAAACATGAATTTTGTTTTAGCTGTGTATTTAAAACCCAGTAATTTTAAAAAGTTACTCCAAAATTCGCTTGAGGATGAAATGGAACTAATGTCTTTAATTTAATCACAAAATTAAATTCGTGGCTTTCAGCTTCCATTTTTGAAACATGGTTAGAACTGTGTAACGAAAAAACCATATTTTAAATCAATTAATTTATAATATATATATATATATATATATATATATATTAAGAAATGGACAAAGTCCGACAATTTATTTATTAAAGACATTTTTTTTATGTGTAACGTTCTTTTTTATATTTACTTAAATACTTGTATCTATAAAAAAGAACGTTAAACATAAATAAATGTCTTTAAATATATTATATATATATATATATATATATATATATATATATATATATATATATAGGTATCTGAAAATATGTATACAGATTTTGACGCTTTCTGAAGAAATAATTCCATCAGCTATATCAAATAAGACATAAAAACTTAAGATTTTGTCATCGCATGTTTTCAAATTGATGTCCATTATGATCCACATATCGTTGACAAGGCGACCCAGTGGAGTCACGTGCAGCAATCAACATTTCGATAGGTTTCTTGGACTTCTGTGAATATTTGCCCTTATTAATTCTTGCTTCACAGGGCGTGGTTGATATCCGTGCTCTTCCAGGATTGTTTCTTGTGCACATCGTGCACTGTACCATCAGCTTCAAACTTATATGTAATTGTCGCCTGATTGTGGATCTGAAGGAAACTCTCATCAATTCCGCCTTTGAACTTCAACTGCATTTTCGTACGTCCATTAGCATTTCAGGATGAACCTCTTTTGTTCAAAGTTAAGCCTGGATGACGTTAGTAATACTAACGTGTAAATAATAATAATAATAATCTCGAAAATGTGGCACATGAGAACATCAACAATCCCTGTTGTAGTTGGAACCCTAGGATTGGTTGGAAAAGATTCCAGTAGACTAACTGAAGGGATTCCTGGAAGCCCATGCCTCAGAGAAATAAAAAAAAATTGTTCTCACAAGTACAGCCCACACTTTACGGGTGGCTTTATCTATGTAAAATATTCTTTTTTTTTGTCAGTGGAAAGCGTCATAATGCCATTTCTAACCTTAGGTCTCTGGGCGCGACCCGGAAAAATGTGTACACGCCAGAAATCAAAAAATAATAATAATAATAATAATAATAATAATAATAATGCATTACGAACATCTTTATGTAATATATGTTTGATCTTTTTTTTTTTCATTTACAAAATGATCAGTGGAAAATATCATGATGAGCGTTATGATCCTTGTTTAAAAACAAGGATCATAATATTCATCAGTGATTTGTAGGTTAATGCATCTTTAAAATTTTGTTTGCGAAAGGATTTCGCCATTTTATATCATTAACTTTACTAATCTACTTTTTTTATGAATGATTCATTGTAATATATATAATATATATATATATATATATATATATATATATATATATATATATATATTATTTTCAGATAGTATATCTGTGAAGGAACAAAATACATAAAAAGTCAAGAGGGAAAACTTTTCTTAGATGACGCGTTTCGTCCTTTGCTAAAAATAGTTTTTTTCCTCTTGTCTTTTTATTCACCTATATAATCTTTTCACCCCAAGCAAGGTGATCATGCCACTAACATACAAGGGGATTACTGAGAATGAACGGAAATGTGACGAAAAAGTACAATAAAAGAACGGGATCCAGGAAGACAGAAGATTGTAATATGTATGAAAAGGAATTAAAGAAAATATGCTTCGAAATGTTCTGACAACACAGGAAAGAAAATTAAAGTTTGAGAGAAATAAAGAAAGGGTAAAACTAGAAAGATTGAGTAGAAAGAATAAAAAAAAATAAAAATAAAACGGGAAAAATAAAAATGGCTGAAAGAAAAGACGAATTCCTGGCTAAAGAAAGGAAATAAGCAACAAAGAAAAAGCAATTTTTGTTAGCGGAAGAACCATATTATATTCGTTTGTTTTCCTTTGGCTCTACATGTCCGTGCGTATGAAAATAGACAAAAATATTACTCCTGATTTTGTCATCGTCGTTATCATGTTGCTATTGTTTTGGCTGGAATTTTTCCTACAAGCTTGTCTTTTCCTTCTCGTGCAACGCAAATACCTCAAAATTTTCTTTCTCTTCCTCTCGAAAGATGATTTCAATTTCTTGGACTCTTCCACGCTGCCAGCCAGCCTTACCGAAATCTGTCCATCTCTATGTCCCTCCCTTTGTCTCCACTACTCTTTCTTTTATTTCTTGCTCTTTCCTTTTCCCATTTTTCGCCTTTCCGTCCCTTTCACACCTTCCATTGTATTCGGCGATAAAAGAAAAGAAAGCCACCCAAAAATAAACAGATCGCCCCCGGGGCCCAATCAATAAATTTCTCTGATGAAGCTGTCAGCTACATCATTAGTCTTATAGCCCGAGGGCCAGGTAAGATGATACAGAGAATGCAGGCAAAGAACTGCCTTTTTTTTTTCCTTTTGCAATATGGCTACCATCTTTCTTGCTTCGTTTTCTAGCCACAGTTTTCACGCCTGCGTCGCTCTTCTTTTCTTCTAGGCTGTTCCTTCCGATGTTCTTTTCCTTCCTTCCTCGTTTCCCCTTATTCATTCCTTTGCTTCATAAGCGAACAGTGAAGCAAATAAGAGATTTTCATTCACCTTGTCCCCGCCTACCTTTGCCACATTTCCTTTCGTTCGTTTGCAATCCGAGGCATTTAGCCTCCAGTCATTATCACTGGCCACACGTGCCTCCCTGCGATGTCCTTGATTAGAATAGCCCCCGTCCTATTCTCCCCCACGTTACTAACCTACCGGTTGTCTTTGAGTTTGTTTCTTTCACATATTATATTCTATCATTTTCCTTCATTCGTTCTCATTTTTCTAAATAGATTTTTCATATACTTTTCTTCTTATTTTCTTCCTATTTTCTTTATCCATATTCGTCCATTTTTCATCTTTTTTATTTCTCTTTTCCTCTTTGGCCTCTTTTCTTTCTGTCATGTCCGGAAATCCCCCCGTTTTCTTTCTATATAATTTTCTCCCTTTTTTTCTTTCTTTCTTACTATATATTTTCTTTCTTTTTTCTTTCTTTTTTCTTTCTTTCTTTCTTTTTTCTTTCTTTCTTTCTTTCTTTTTTCTTTCTATATAATTTTCTTTTTTCTTTCTTTCTTTCTTTTTTCTTTCTATATAATTTTCTCCCTTTTTTCTTTCTTTCTTACTATATATTTTCTTTCTTTTTTCTTTCTTTCTTTCTTTCTTTTTTCTTTCTATATAATTTTCTCCCTTTTTTCTTTCTTTCTTTTTCTTTTTTTCTTCTTTTTTCTTTCTTTTTTTCTTTCTTTTTTCTTTCTATAAATTTTCTTTTTTTTTCTTTTTTCTTTCTTTTTTTCTTTTCTTTCTTTCTTTCTTTCTTTCTATATAATTTTCTCCCTTTTTTCTTTCTTTCTTACTATATATTTTCTTTCTTTTTTCTTTCTTTCTTTCTTTCTTTATTTCTATATAATTTTCTTTCTTTCTATATACTTTCATTTCTTTCTTCCTTTCTATATATTTTTCTTTCTTTTTATATAATTTTCTTTCTTTTCATTTCCATTTTTTATCACTTCCTCATTTTATTTTATTTTTATTTTATTTTTTTCTTACACTTACGCTCTAACCCTCTACCTCGAGTGGCTCTTGGGCTTTGTCCAAGACGAACACTATTGTAAAAAAAAAAAAAAAAAAAACTTATTCACGTCCCTCTGTTTAGCCTTCTTTCAAACATTTTTTTAATATTCTTTTTCTGTTTTCTTTTTAATTTTTTTTTCTTTCTTTCAATCTCTGTTCACTCATTTCATTTTTACATTTTTTTTTCTCATATTGTCCTCCATTTTTCTTCTTCATATCTTTTAACTTCTTTATCACCTTCCTTTTCTTCCCCTAGCTTTTATTCTATCACTTATTTATTGGTTATTTCTCATCATTCTTTAAATACATTTTCTTTTTTTCCTCCTATTATTCACGTATTTCTGTTTCACCTCTTAACTCTTAACCCTTTATTTCGTTCTAAAAGTTATTTCACTATTCACCCCTAGTTTTCTTTATCATTTCATTCTTCCCGTTGTTTGGAGGCGTTCCTTCATTCCTTCCCTAGTTTCTTCCTTCATCTTTTATTTTCTTTCCATCTTTCATTTATCCACTTCCCTTTGATCCTTCTTGCTACTTTTCACTGCTTCTTATCTGGCAGTGTCGGCTCAACATCCTTCAACGAAACGAAAGCAAACTAAGCCTAAGTTTCCCGCCAAAATTCAATCACAGTCACAGACGCTGCCACCATTTTCCGTTGCACTTTACTACCTGGCACAAATTTACCTCAACTCCACCCACACTCTTTACTTTCTTTTCTTCTTCTTCTCTTTTAATTAAATTCTTTTAATCAGACTATTCCAGTTCTTACCAATTCGGCTTCCAAGTTCTTCCATCTCCGGCGATTTTATCTATGTAACTAATTTTCTGGCCTGCTCTAAGCTAACTCCCACTTTACAAAAGTCTATAATCAGACACCGTTCTTCTCTGGTTACGTCTTCCATGATTTGTGGTCTTCTTTTAATGTAAAGGACTTGGGAAAGTGTTTGATGCATTCACCCTTTTATCTTCTCCGTCATTATCATTCATCTTCATTGATTCTTGCGCGTCTCTCTGCAAAACTTCAGTCCCTCCTCTCCGTTTTTCGTTTCAGTCCATCGCCATATGTCTTCTCCGAGCCTTTTCACTCTTTAAATCATTTGAACGTTTCCTATCTTCGTCCCTTTCAGTCGCCTTTTCCTTTGTGATTCGCTTTCTTTGGGAAATGTTTAGCACAAATCTTAGTTTCTTCGCTTTACGCCTAAAATGTACCTTTGGACCACATTTATTCTCTTCTTCGTAAAATGCTTCTTTTTTCTTTCCTTTTACTCTCATTCGTTTGTCGTCTGCTTCTTCGCCACAATGTTGTCATTTCCTCGCGATTTTATCGCATTTTACTTCATCAGCACAATTCACGTTTTCCATTCCTTATCTTCGTCTTCATAATTATCCCTCACTTTTTTATTCTTCTTTTTAATTATCATTTCTGTACATTTTCTCATTTGTCTGTGTATCTGTGTATCACATTATTATTCTTTATTTTTCCGATTTCTCAGGTTTTTCTATTTTTTCATCTTTTTATTGTGTTTCTCTTTACTTTTTCTTTTTTGATTTCGTTATCTTTTTAGCCTATTTCTCTCTCTCTCTCTCTCTCTCTCTCTCTCTTTCTATTTCCTTAACTTTTTATCGTATCTCTCCTTTCCTCATTCTTTTTTTTCTTCACCTTATTTTATATTTCTCTCTCCCTTTTTTCTATTTGTTTATCTTTGTATCGTATCTCTCTTTTCCTCTTTCTTTTTTAATTTCTTCATTTTATTATCCTTTTTCTCTCTCTCCCTTTTCTTCTTTGATTTCTTTTTACTGTTTTTGCTGTCCATTTTTCCTTTTTCTTTTTCTTCGCCTTTTTTTCATATTTCTGTTTCCATTTCAACATTTTTATCGTCTTACGCTAACGTTTTTGCTAAATTTTGAAGACCTTTTTTTTTTTTTTTTTGTTATTTCGGCTTGTTTTCCTTCCTCTTTTACATTGACTTTATTTATTTTTCTGAAGTAGAGAAAACCATTTTCTTGTAATTCCCTTTTACTTTTTATTCTCAACTCCTCATATGCTTATTTTATTCCGAACAATACATTCTTAATATTCGTTTAAAACTTTAGTTCGTAATTTGAACGTGTTGGACGCATTCTTGATCCTTTTAAAACGGTACCTTGATACCCGTTCCTTTTATCCGTATCTTTTGTTAAATCTATCACAAATATTGCTGTCTTTTTCTTTCTATACTCATTTCTTTCTTTCTCAATGTGTATAATATATCTCACTCTGTTCCTTTCTATCTATCTATGTAAGAGTATTCATTGTCTATCTATTTCGTCAAGAGTATTCATAATCTATTTCTTCAAGAGAATTTATTATCTATCTATCTATCCCTGTAAGAGTATTCATTATCTATCTATCTATGCAAGAGTATTCATTGTCTATTTCTGTGAGAGTATTCATTATCTATCTATGCAAGAGTATTCATTATCTATTTCTTCAAGAGTATTATCTATCTATCCCTGTAAGAGTATTCATTATCTATCTATGCAAGAGTATTCATTGTCTATCTACACAAGAGTATTCATTATCTATTTCTTCAAGAGTATTTATCTATCTATCCCTGCAAGAGTATTCATTATCTATGCAAGAGTATTCATTATCTATCTAAAGGTTTTCATTATTTATCTATCTACGCAAGAATATTCATTATCTACTTATCTTTCTATATAAGAATAATCATTTCTATAACTATTATCTATCTCTATATATGTATATATATATATATATATATATATATATATATATATATATATATGTGTGTGTGTGTGTAAGAATATCCATTATCTATATAAGAACATTCATTATCTATCTCTCTTTCTATGTAAGAATATCTATCTATCTATCTATCTATCTATCTATCTATCTATCTATCTATCCCCGTCTGTTTAAATCTTTCTTTCGTTCTTTCTTTTTCCAGCTTTCATTCCTTACTCATTTCGACTATCTACCTATCTAAGAATATTCATTATCTATTTATTTTTTATGTAAGAATATTCATTATCTATCTATCTTTCTATCTATCTTCATTATCCATCTAATTATATAAGAATATTCATTATCTATCCATCTATCTATGTAAGAATATCCATTACATATATCTATCTATCGATGCAAGTATTATTATAATTTTCTATCTATCTATCTATCTATCTAAGAATATCCATTATCTATGTAAGCATATTCATTATTTATGTAAGAATATGCAATATCTATCTATATCTATCCCCGTCTGTTTAAATCTTTCTTTCGTTCTTTCTTTTTCCAGTTTTAATTCCTGATTCATTTCAACTAAGAATATTCATTATCTAAGTATATTCCTTATCTATCTATGTATCTATGTAAGAATATTCATTATCTCTTTATCTACCCTTGTCTGTTTAAATCTTTCGCAATTTTGATGTCCCTTTCTTTCTTTCTTTCTTTCTTTCTTTCTTCAGTCTCTGTTACTGACTCATTTCAACTATTCTGTCTTTATCTATGTATCTATCCACGTCTGTTTAAATCTTTCTTTCTTTTTCCAGTTTACATTCCTGACTCATTTCATCTATCTATCTATCTATCTATCTATCTATCTATCTATCTATTTGCGGTATTTATCAGCCACATTGATCTCTTCTCATTTCCTCCATCTCTATCCGCCTCGTCGCCTTCTCCTTAAGTAACTCCTGTTCTTCTCGGCATCTTGTTTCAATTCTTTTGATCTTTTCATCGCTTTCTTTTGTTCCTCTGCAAATGCCGACCTGCTGACTTATTCATTAAGTCGAGTGCAGAAAATTTCGGTTTATCCCAAATCAGAAGAAAATATCCCTCCTATTTGCGCAATGGGTGATAGTTAAAAACAAAAGAGCTGTGGGTTAAGTGTTCGGGGCTCGGGTTCAAGTCACGGAATGAGTGGTGTTGGTGATGAGAGATACAGATCAGAAATCAAATAATACCCACTTCACTTCCCCATGTTCTTCCGTATTTTTTTTTTTATTACTATTATTTCTTTTTCCCACAGCTTCTATTGGCCAACCTGAAAACAATAACACCATCATTAATGCCATTAACACATTGCTGGCATGATGTGTCTGCAGTTAATTTGACCACGTTTAACTTATTGAAAAAGTGATGGCTTTCTTCTACTCTTGTCTCTCTTCTTAAAAAATGAAGATAATATCTGTGCTAATGAAGCAGCAGAGGGTATCTTATTTTAATCAGAGCTAGCTTTAATCTTGTAAGGCATGCGTGTATGTATGTCCGAACCACTTCGCAGATTTCTTTTAAATTCCTATTTCATTAAGCGAATCAGGGTTTTTTTTTTTCCTAAAAGAGGTTGGAAGTGGGAGCGTAAAAGGTTTACGTGGTCTATCGATTCTTATATTAAAAAAGGTGAAATCGTTAGCGTGTTCATATAGATAATGCTAGTCAAATATTTCTTAGTGGAGTTTGATAGCTGATTTTTTTTTCTATATATATATTTTTTTAAATTAGCGTAAGCCTTTATACTGTATTCAATTACTTAATATTCCTACGATCAATTATCTTCATTTTTTTTCTAACTTCTTTTTGTTCTCTTCACCATTTTTGTCTTTATTAATATTTCTTCGTAACAGATTTGCCTGATGCTTTTAGATGGGGATCAAGTGATACCAAGTCACATTATTTTCTTATAATTTTGGCTGAAATTTAAAACCATAAGCTCTTAACGTAAGTTTAAACCAGTGGTTCCCAAACGATGTGGCGAGTCTCATAAGAGGATAGCAGGTGAGGCGGAAGAGGATAGCAGGTGAGGCGGAATGATTGAAAGACCATCAAAGATTTAGAATTTGGAAACATTTTCAAAAAAATTCATATACCAAAAATAAATATGATTTCGAAACTTAAAATATTAGTATCGATTACTTGTAATCGCATGCACGAGTCCCAATATAGATATTTATAAATAATTATTGACCGATTTTATCATTGTGATATGTTTTGCATTATATCAAGTATTAAGTATTGAGAATATTTTTTGCATTATATCAAGTATTAAGTATTGAGAATATTTTTTGCATTATATCAAGTATTAATATTTTTTTTTTGCATTATATCAAGTATTAAGTATTGAGAATATTTTTTTGCATTATATCAAGTATTAAGTATTGAGAATATTTTTTGCATTATATCAAGTATTAAGTATTGAGAATATTTTTTGCATTATATCAAGTATTAAGTATTGAGAATATTTTTTGCATTATATCAAGTATTAAGTATTGAGAATATTTTTTGCATTATATCAAGTATTAAGTATTGAGAATATTTTTTTGCATTATATCAAGTATTAAGTATTGAGAATATTTTTTTGCATTATATCAAGTATTAAGTATTGAGAATATTTTTTGCATTATATCAAGTATTAAGTATTGAGAATATTTTTGCATTATATCAAGTATTAAGTATTGAGAATATTTTTTGCATTATATCAAGTATTAAGTATTGAGAATATTTTTTGCATTATATCAAGTATTAAGTATTGAGAATATTTTTTGCATTATATCAAGTATTAAGTATTGAGAATATTTTTTTGCATTATATCAAGTATTAAGTATTGAGAATATTTTTTGCATTATATCAAGTATTAAGTATTGAGAATATTTTTGCATTATATCAAGTTTATATTGAAATATTTTTGCATTATATCAAGTATTAAGTTTTATTTTTGCATTATATCAAGTATTAAGTATTGAGAATATTTTTTGCATTATATCAAGTATTAAGTATTGAGAATATTTTTTTGCATTATATCAAGTATTAAGTATTGAGAATATTTTTTGCATTATATCAAGTATTAAGTATTGAGAATATTTTTTGCATTATATCAAGTATTAAGTATTGAGAATATTTTTTGCATTATATCAAGTATTAAGTATTGAGAATATTTTTTGCATTATATCAAGTATTAAGTATTGAGAATATTTTTTTGCATTATATCAAGTATTAAGTATTGAGAATATTTTTTGCATTATATCAAGTATTAAGTATTGAGAATATTTTTTGCATTATATCAAGTATTAAGTATTGAGAATATTTTTTGCATTATATCAAGTATTAAGAATATAGTAACAAGGATCCGTAAATTGGAGCAGAGAGTTATCAATAATAATGTTCTGACTTCGAATTCACGGTTATCTCCCTTTAATCCTCTCTCTGTTTTTTTTTTTTGTTTTTTTTTTTTTTTTGGGGGGGGTTAAATGTACTTTTTATCACATAAAATTTGGTGAGGCGCGAACAAATTTTCATCCCAAGAATGTGGCCCAGAGAAAGAAAGTTTGGGACCTGTTTTGGCCTTGTTAGGACCAGAAACAAAGACACAAGAGAGGAATTGAGTTAAACAAATATATTAACAGAAACAGTAATACAAACATATACAAACAAGAGTGTTACAGCAAGAAATGTTTGGTCTGACTGTCAGAGCTGACTGCTGGAAACTTCACCCTCCAAAAGGCAGTTCCTGCTCCTATTTATAGCTGGGAGAGACCTTGAGTGCGTGGGTAAACTGCCATAACAGGAACCAACACCTATATTTTAAATTTAAGTCCACACCTATATTTTTATATATTATCACAATATTTCCATATCCTCCTGACGTCAGTTTAAACTGACACCTATTTTTATATATATTATCACAATATTTCCATATACTCCTGACGTCAGTTTAAACTGACACCTTCATTTTTTTTTACATATTATCACAATTTACTTAAAGTTTGTATTTTATTGATGCCAAATGAAAACTTGAACATTTTACAACATATTTCAGTGAAATCTTAACTTTCTAAAATTATAGTATCTAATTATATTTGATATATATATATATATATATATATATATATATATATATATATATGAAAATATTAGTCGTCAGTTTAAACTGACACCAGGAAAATATGTTAAACAGATGCCTTCTTTGTTCATATACTGTAACCATTTAACTTCCATTTAATTTCTTATTTTCTTGATTTCAAATGAAAACGTGGAAATTTTACAACATATTTCAGTGAAATTTTCACGTTCCAAAATTATAGTTCATAATTATTCCGTGTGGAAAAAAGATGTCAGTTTAAACTAACACCAAGAGGATATAGGTTAATAAGTTTGATAACGACATTGCAATCCATGTTGGATCTTTCAATGTCGGAATTAGTTTCTTTCTATTTTTTTCATTTTTCCTATTGTATTTTTATCTGGTTTTAAGTATGAACATTTCATATGAATAAATAGTTTTAATGTTAACTTCTCTATAATAATTACCTTCAAGAATATTTCCATATACTGTTTAAAGATACATTACAGTTCAAAAGTTTGAGGCCGACCCTCGTAATTTTTTTAAATTGGCGCAAAAAGTAGTTGTTTTGTACTTTAACTAAGAGAAGATTATTATTCATGGTTAAAAAAAAAAGTAAGACATAATTTTTATTAGAAATTTTATTATGAAAAAAAAAAAGGATTTTATGATTAAATTTTGCTATCGTCAAAATATCCTCCTTTATCCTTGTTTACTGCAGTAAAAAGTTTTGGTAAAGGTTTCTCAAGATATAAGTTTGATAATTGATTTCTTTCTTTTTTTCAATAACTCTAAGAGTTCTTTTTTCATTTTTTGGGTGGAAAGGTTTCACTCTTCTGTCATGTTCATCCCGTGCTAATTCTAGGGGTGGCTTCAAACTTTTCGACTGTAGGATGCAAGAATCAAGATGTCAAAATCTAACATGTACAGAAGATAATATATTTGGGAAGTGTTTCAACAGATGGCGGAATATGTGACACTGAAATCCAAAGGCTCGGTGGGATAGCAACAGAAGCCCCCCGCCCCAAGCTAAGCAAAGTATTAAGAAACCGAAAAATTTGGTTAGAAACAAAAAAAAAGAATATTGAATTGCTATGTAATACCAGTCCTCCTTAATTGCAGTGAATGCTGGACAATCTCCTTAAAGATGAAGAAGAGACTTGAAATGATAGAAATGTGGTTCTACAGAATGCTGCTGAGAATACCATGGACTGAAAATGTGGGCAACGACGAAGTTTTAGAGAAAATGGAAATAAAAAAGGACACTTATACTTGACATCAGGAAGCGACAGTCAGAATTTCTAGGGAACATAATGAGGAAAGAGGGCTTGGAAAATGTGATACTCAGGGACAGGGGAAAACAGCACACAAGTTAACGAGCTTGTGGCAGAACAGAGTTTAGGAAAGATAAAAAAAAAAGATAGAATTTACTAAGAGCTATAAAGGTCAAGAAATTGTGGACAGTTATGATCGCCAACGTCCCGAAGAAGAATTTAGTTATATATATATATATATATATATATATATATATATATATATATATATATTATATATATATATATATGTTATAGGACCTTACCCATAATAACATAATGGACTACTCCATACGTAATAAATACTGCGCCTCAAGAGGAAGCAGGGAGTTCAGTCTGAAGTCTGGAGTGAAGTCCGTCAGGAGTCTGTCAGTCAGTAAGTCAGAGCGAGCGAGTCAGTCAGTCGAGTCAGAGGCAGTCCGAAACAGAGTCGTGTTCAGACAATTACTACTAAACCTGATTGTTCGTACTAACACTTTCTACTTCTCTGTATGTATTCCTGTTTGTAATATATCTGTGTTATTCCATATCCGCCTT